CGACCTGCTTCGCTACATACGCATCCTTTTCTTTGGCGCGCAATCTCCCGTAACGCTGAGTCGCCGATTCTTCCCCTCGCCAGGTCAATATTATACTGTCCTCGTCGCCCGTTGTCGAATCGCCGAGTCTCGTAGATCACGTACTTCCTCAGCCGCAACGTATGGATGCGACCTTCACTTCTCATCTGGCAGTTCTTTCAGCACATCTGAAGCTCGACGTCATCAACATATACGACGTGATGTATACTCATCGAGATGGGTTGACCTTGGCTGTGACAGATTATGGACCACGTCCCAAATTGGATGAAGTTGACCGTGACGTAAGTGAGAAGCGGGTTACTTTCAAGAAACTTTGTTCATCACTTCATGCACGACCACGCCAACCAGAAACGGCACTCTCTGTTTAGCTTTTGATGGCTCCGCTCTCTAAGTTTTGATCAGATTTTGATAGCAATTTTCCCTCGGGGATAAAACTTTTTCTTGGGATAGTTTGACCCTATCGAACACGAATATCGCCCCCACTGGAAGCGCAAGTATTGTAGCTTGCGGCGGTGTTACAAGCCAGTTGTAGCACTGGTGCTGGGTCTTTCTGTACCAGGAGAATGTGACATCTCCAGTCAGGTTGTCAACCTTCTTTACGTAATTTTGGCCAAGTGTACCCCCGGGGAAAATTTTTGATCAATTTCTGGCCCGGATTTCGAGATCATGCTTGAAACGAGAGAAATCAATGGTCAGAGGAATTTTCATCAAAGGCAAACAATGCCCCTCCCCTCGCCCCGGCGACCGAATAGGATTCTGGAAATCCGCAACGTGCGAATGCCCTAATGGCCAGTCAGATTTCTTCCGTCAACTTGCAGAGAGGGAGGATATCTGAGTGCTTCCTCGTGGTTGCTACATTCAGTTTGCTCCTTTCAGCCAATTTTCACGCGAAGTTCCGCTCGTTTGTCTGGAGATTGCGCGGCGGATCTTCATAGGGGTGACAGTACTCACAGTGAGAAAGTGAGTTCTCCTACACTTGGATCTGTCCAGGGCTCTTTCCAGAAAGTTCCGTGTTTCGATGTTACTGTATTGTCGGAATGTGTGGTTTTACAGAAATTTGGCTCACCTTCATTCATGGCTGACGCTATAAATTGCCCTCATACCCACCTCATCAATATCGATTTCAAAATAGAAAACGAAGATATTCTGTGGGAACTTCTATTGAGGTTCGTATCACATATTACACCTATAGTCCATACCCCGCAGATGGGGAGGGTGCAGCCGCGTTGTTCTGATAGGGGATTAAAGTCAACTATCACCTGTTTTGTGCTGCGCAAAGACAGGAAAACAACTGCTGCAAAACAGAAACATCACATCAGAAACGCAGCCGCTGCGCTCAAATGAAGCACGCGGCCACGCCTTTCCTATCTTCGGGATATGGAATGCACTTGTTTATTAGTGCACTTGAGAAATAATTGTTGTGTTATAGGTACCTTAAAGTGTACCATTGCCTAGTCCATTTGACGTATTCAATGGAACTTGCGAAAAGGGACTGGGAATCGGAAAGCAAGGCAAGTGTTTTGGTACTATCGTCGTTATTCTTCTTTTCTGAATTTTTTTTTCTCGACTGGCTCCCATCCAGAGGACCCAGCCTCTGGATGGGAGCCTCTACCCTTTCGGAATTCGTGGAGTTGTATAAGGCTCATGTGGAATGATGATACTCCACCTTGTTATCACAAGAATGCTGAGTTATGGGCAAAAGTCGTGCCCCAGGCGGGAGTCGAACCCGCACCTCACGCTTTCCGGGCGAGTGCGCTATCCGTTACGCCACCAGGGCCTATTTCACCCTCTCAGCTTAACGGCTTATGCCGTAAGCCTTACAGCACTCACACGTTTAACTTGGTGAGCCGGTCAGCCGATATCTAACGATTACGGCTGACCGGCTCACCAAGTTAAACGTGTGAGTGCTGTAAGGCTACGGCATAAAAGCCGTTAAGCTGAGAGGGTAAAAGCGGCCCTGGTGGCGTAACGGATAGCGCACTCGCCCCGTGAGGTGCGGGTTCGACTCCCGCCTGGGGCACGACTTTTGCCCATAACTCAGCATTCTTGTGATAACTTTCGTAACGCGTACTGCGGCGTAAAACAGCAGTTATCTAACAAAACAACTCCACCTTGTGTCTCTGCCTGGCCCGTGCCTATCATTGGACAGAACAAATCGCATTTGAAAGCAACTTTGATTTCGTCGCAATCAGTCGGGGCGGTTTTCAAGAGGGCTTGGACGAGCTCGCCACGGTGTTTTCAGCTCTAGTTGTCTTCTTGGTAAATCGATCACTAACCGCGGACCAATCATTGGTAGAAAAGGGCAGCCGTCGCGTGCTTATTCTGTCCCTCCTGACACCACCGCGGTTAAGTGCGTGGATATCGGCTACTGTATAAGTTTGACACGATATTTTTAGATTTTTGCTAACCGTTTGAATAGCACACCGAATGACCTGCGACTTGGTGATGCACTGCTGAACAGCCTGTTAGGTGGAGCCCCAGGTCCGCTAGCAGAAAGGTAATCTTTTCTTTCAGCAATTTGTTTTCAGGTGATTCGCTCAATTATTAGCCGATATATAATAGGTTAGGTGTGCAGTTGTGTAAGCTGTGATAACTTGTTGTAAGGTTTCTCACAATATTGCCCTGGTAATGCTATAAGGCGCTTTGGCTGGGAGATTCTCGTTGCGACGCAGCGTTCAAGTCGTGTTTCGTGCGCGGCATTCACACCAGGAACTGGTCATTTCAACGCGGGAAGGAATACAATATGAATATGTCGAATGAGCTTGCTGGGAAACGTAAGAAGTGGTTGCAAAGTTTTTTGTCCTACAGGATAGCCTTACTAGGGCGTTCCTGTCGCTCAAAGAGAGCGCGATCTTTCCAAGAGCTTGGGCACTTCGCTCTTGCCCGTCGAGAAGCACTATGGAGCTCCAGCACCCTACCCTGGCGGCTATTCCAATCCCACTTGAAGCTTGTGCCGCGGCAAGGTAGAACCTATGTATGAAAGCATCTACACAGTATTGCAGAACCCTGAATAAACTCCAAAATTCATCATGAAAATGCTGATTTGTGGGCAAAAGCTCGACCTCAGGCAGGACCTTGCTTTGCCCACAACTCAGTATTTTCGCGATAACTTTCATAGCGCGAAATGAGGCGATAAGCTGTGGCTGTTGTAACGAAGCAAGTGAATTTTAGGTGGCTTGAAAGAACACTCGGAGCCGCGGGGATTCAATCGATGCGCGAATTTGTTGAGAAACGGTTCAGGTATATATTCATTGGTGTTAAATGAATCAATGTGCAATTTTGCAGAAATTTGAAGCGCAGTTTGGCTTGGTGGGGCACGGAATGATATTCAGCTCAGCTTGTGAAAATCCTGTGACCAAGATGATTCACTCGAATTTCACAGCTTCACAGGGTTTTCAGGTCTGACAAAAGTGGGACCTATTTGTCAAAATGAACTAGCAAAAGGAACCGGCGAAAGGGAAGCCCGCTCTAAGCCAAACAGCGCAGCATTCGAATGAAAAAGGATCTAGTTTCCGCTACATCTGCTAGATTTTCAGCGGATTGGTGGCCGTGTTACGTGGCCAGCTGTCAGCAGCAGCCCGATCACTTGCCTTCCAAATGGACCAGTATCGTGACTTGATCAAAGAGTTGCAGGACGCCAATACAAATTATGAGTGAGTGTTATTCAAAGCTATGTTCTCTGGGTGTTAAGAGGATACCACATTTTACCGTGTTCATACTTCGCGACGCGAGCGATTCATTCTCGCAATTGCGACTGACCACTATAGTCCGGAATAACTTTTATGCTGTCTGTTATAAAATTAGCAGTGGTCCAACCATTAGCTCTACAGCACCGTCAGTCGCAGTTGAGCGATTTCCAAATTCTTCGCGCGTCTGAACGATTCGAGTTGCAGAGTATGAACGCAGTCTAAGATAAAAACATTCCACTTATTGTTTTTCTTACGAAAAATCTCATTTTCGAGAATCTTGCAGAAATGTGACTCTACCTTCGTGGAATGTCACGAGTCGACCGAGCGAGTTCCCATCAGCATCGAGCTCTGCTAAAATCCCGGATGTGACTGCGGATCATGTATTCGATGCACCGGATCCCACCACTTCACGTCTTATCCTTGATCGACTGCATTCAGGAGGGGTCAGAATACAAGCGAAATGTGAAGAGATGTCTCAGGCTGCTACCAGTAACTTGTGAGTGATTTTGTGCCTGTGCAAGCAAATAAGATTAATTTACATCAGGGCGCTTCCTGCTCTGGGAAAGTTTTTAGAAAACGAATCCGCTCCCCAACCCCTCCCCTCCCCTCGAATTTCCTCCCGTGATTTTTTCAAAAAAAAGTGTCGTCGAGCAGGGAGGGGGAGGATAGGTGGGGAGCTGTACATAGTGCATGTGAAAGGGGGAAACCCCAAAAAGTCACCAGCCGGGAAAATTTTTCACGACTCGGGCAATTTCTCTCGAAGGCGAATACGATTCCCTCCATATTGCCCCTTCCCCCTCACGTCAGGCCGGAAGAAGTCCAAGACATGATGGTTCGGGGTAAGCGGCTGCCCATGTTATTGGTGGAAGGGTGGAGTGGAGTGTGGCCGAACGCACTCCCGCTGGCTTTCCACCAGTGATATTCACAGCAACCGTCCGTACCTAGCTATCGTGCCCATTGCACTCAAGTGCTACACCTGAGAAATGCTCGACATATTAGGTCGTTGCATAAGTTCTTATACACGTGTTTGATCCTCTCCTATTTCGTTCGCATGGATGTATTACGTCATCACGTGTGCGTGACGTGTACATTATACTCTTTCATTACACTAGCTATCACTCACCGAGCTTGCATTTGCAGTACACAATGTCGCACAATTTGCACTGTGACAAAACGTACCTGCGCCACTGTTTGGTTTTGCTCCACGATTTCGGCTGGAATGCAAAGGAAGCCCATACCAAGCTGGTGGATACATACCGTGTGGACGTCATCTCTTACATGACAAGAATTGCAAGAAATTGAGCTCGCCCAATTCAAGAAAGGAGACTTCTGATGGAGTTGGATTTGGAAGTACTACGTTCCACCGTGGAGGAGGACCCGTACCTCACCACCAGAGAAATGGCGACCATGCTTAGCTATGATCATTCGACGGTTGCACGTGGACTAGAAAAGCTCGGCAAGGTAGCAAAGCTTGGTCGATGGGTCCCACATGAACTGTCCCGCTATGACCTTCTCGGAGAGCGTGATGACCACCTTCACAGGGCACGCCATTGCGTTTGTGATCATTTCCTGAAAAATACGACCCCCCTAATTCCATCTTCAAGTACGACCCCCTCCCCACGTTACCTCTTCCCTAGATTTTTCCAACCTCCTACCACTTTGTCTATTTTTTCCCAAAAAGTTTCTGGTTTTTTTTTTTACAAAATTTTGCCCGTCGTCGAGCGGGCGGGGGGGGTCGCAGTACCTACGTACGTCCCAAGCACGTCCAGCACTCTGGCGCTGGTGTAGCATACTGACAATACGTACGAGGAAGGGGCGATGATAGGAGCTACGATCACCGCCCCATGAATTCATCACAAGGGCCCCATGAATTTATAAACAAACAAGAGGACTCACGACGTGACGATTAATAAACAGATGAAAGTACATTCCCGGACTTTCTGATCGTAGGAGCACATTTGCTTGCAATTGGAAGAAGCCCTATCTAGAAGTTACACCTTTCAAACACCTGCGTGAAAGCCCCATGCATGGCGCATTGCATATGTGATGCCAATTGGCGCCCAATGGCCTATTACCTGATATGCTTGACGAAAACATGTGTTTCAGAAGCATACCAAAGTCTTCGAGCCAACTGGAGCTTTCCTGGCCTCGGAGGCGGTGTTGATTTTTCGTTGTCTGCTTTGGTGATTACAAAATGATCACAACGGGGAATTTTTTCGAATAGTAGGTCTAGGAAGGAAATTAAAACCTTGCTGGAAAGTAGAAATCTTCAAGCTTCCGGCACAGTTCTTTTTTTTACGAAAGGTCGTGTATGAAGCTTGCCATGGACGTCCAAAGCGTAGCGACTCGCCACCGCAGTTCGCAAAAATGATCACAGATGGATCTCAAAGATGATCACAACGGGGAAAATCTCTGGAATCGGAACGTTTTTGAAATCGCTCAATTCAGGTGATAAGAGCCAACCTAGCTCTACTCATTCCCACTTACCCCTCTCCGATAGCTTCACTTTCAACGAAGTTATGGGTGTTCAAATGAGGGGTTTCACGTGTTTGGCTTGAAATTAGCTCCAAACCGTAAAATAGCGCGCACCAATGCGCTTGTATGAGCGCGCTGACCGCGAACAGCCAAAATTCAAAGGAAATCCATAGTTCCGGTTCCCAGCTGAGCAAGTTTTTTCTTATACATTTTATTGTGAATTACTTTGATTGTGTTTTTGTTGAGTTTAATTTTGTTTTGTTGAAGTTTGATTTTGTTGTGAGGAAATTGCTCAGGATTCAATTTCTACGGTTTCATAGGTAGCTTTTGCAATGATTCTTTTCTAGATTTTGCGGATTAGTGGATTGGGATTTACCTAGACCAGATGAGGAGGGTTGGTGGGCGAAGTTTCTTGAAGTTTTTTGTGAGGAAGGAGGAAAAAGTTTCAGCAATATGATTTGCTTTCAGCAATATTTTTTTTAGTTTTTGGCCTAGGAATAGTTCGATAGTGCCTAGTTCTATTTATTGTCATCTACATCGTCCCTTTTGAGCTTCTTTTTACTTGTACCGTGTATCACCGCTCTCTCCACTTCAACATGGGCCATGCGTTTACGACCCCCCCCCTCCATCGCGGGCAAATACGACCCCCTGTGATGATCACAAAGATGGCGTGCCCTGCACCTGCACTTCTCTCCTCACTTTCCAAAAGAGGCTTCACTTTCTCAACTCGATGATCACTGGAGATGAGAAGTGGGTCCTCTACGATAACCCTGTGAGGAAGCGGCAGTGGGTCGACAAAGGAGAACAGCCAGAAGCCACCCCAAAGGCCGACCTTCACCCCAAAAAGGTTCTCCTGTCCTGTTGGTGGTCCAGAAGAGGCATGGAGTACTGGGAGCTGCTGGAGAAGGGACAGACGATTGACGCTTCCACATACGTGACCCAGCTGCGGAAATTGAAAGATCACGTCGACCGTACTCGTGGAAGGAATGCGGAAATCTACTTCCACCATGACAACGCCCGACCTCACACTGCAAAGGCGACCCAGGCCGAGCTGGAGAAGTACGGATGGCTGATGGTCGCCCACCCTCCCTACAGCCCTGACCTCGCTCCTTCTGACTACTGGCTGTTCAGCCACCTGCAGCGCTATCTGGACGGAAAAAAGTTCGAAACAAAGGATCAGGTCAGAAAGGCGCTCGACGACTTCTTCAAGTCCCAGCCTCCGTCGTTCTGGAAGGATGGAATCGACAAGCTGCCTGAGCGCTGGCGTCGAGTAGTGAATGGTGATGGTGCATACCTCTAATCTCCAGGCTGGTTCGTTTTTGAGATATTTACAAAAAAGTCGTGTATAAGAACTTATGCAACAACCTAATAAACTAACGTCAAGGTAACAAGAAGATAGATTTCGGTGAATATCCCATTTAGAGTGAAGCAGTAACGAAAGGTTTCAGGAGAGAGCTGTCACAACTCGTACGATGGATGTCATTGTTGACACCACTGCTAAAAAATACGAAACGTCCCGCTCAAATTATAGAGCAGAACTGTAAATGGGATGTGGCGAATCTGCTAAAGGTGAGTTTCAGAGTTTCGACTAGAACGTTACTATCTGGAGAAGTACCAGGTCGGCTAGTGCACGATACCACGCATATCTGTGGAGTTAATAGCTAGTGTCGCAACATTTTGGCGCAGTTCGGCTTGATGGGGGCACCGAGTTGTGGGTTGTCCTCAGCCATGCTTGTACAGGCCACCTTGTTAAAATCACAAGTTCCTGTCACTGAAATTACTATTTTGTAGCTTCACAGAAGCTTACAGGTCTCATCAAAATTAGAACATGGTCTAACGGAAGGAACTAGTGGAAGTGAAAAATGCCCCCTCCAAGCCGAACAGCGCCAATATACTTACTGTAGGCACAGCCTCTGGGGTGTTAGTAGCTTTTCCTAATTTCTTGTGACCCCTTAAAAAGACGATTTTGAATAGTTTGTAACATCACAATTTGTCAAGGGCGGCGAGCGCAGTGCGGTACGAGTTCGTGTTCGGCTGCCTTGCTCTACCAATGGTGATCGAGCAATGATCGATGTAGGAAGGAATCAGCCACTGGTGGGAAGGCCGCAGGTGGGAACCGCTGATTGCGACCGGACAGGTCGCGGTGATATAAACTGTAACTGGTGTAGTTGAGAATACTGAAAAATCCTTTCATATACGTCTGTTCCTCTTGCTCATCTAGGGAGGAGGTCGTCAGTCAATAGTGTAATAGCGAATACGAATCCGGAAAAACGGAGGGGAGTCAATCAACAACTGAAAAAAAACTTTCGCGGCTCTTTCCTTTGGAATTCTTTGCCCACCATTGCTTAGTTCAACCGCCTGATAATAAATCATCATGATTTGTATGATCCCCTGTACTTACCTCTGTGTGTTCTGCTGCGTACTCTGAATATATCAATCAGTCGATATAAGTTTGTTTGGTACAACCCCCCATTTGACCACGTGGAGTGAGCTGCGTCATTACTTGGCGAGCGATCGCGCGATCCGGATCGCGCGATCGCTGTGATCGCGCGATCGCGCTACTGTGGGTGAAATTACACCGGGAGGGGTCATGTTCGTTCGTGTTCAACTCAACTCAACAAACAACAACAACAAAGTTCTGGGGAGTCGTACTGATATCACCATTTCTCACATCACGATGCTGTATCCTGCCTCCAATAGGCAGTTCCAAAAACGATATAAAAGTAAGTTCGACCTTTTTTGATGTCTTTTAGGCCGTGTTCATATTCGCAATACTGACGTTTGCAGAAACCGTCGAAAGGAAAGGTTGTGTATAGACCTGGAGGATGGCAGAACAAACAAAGCAACACAATGTGACAAAAGTAAAGTGAATATCTGGAGGACTGGCAAAATCGGGGGAAGGGAGAGAAACAACATCACCCGCTGTTGAAAGTTCTGCGTGTCTTACTTTTGGAACAAGATGTTCAATACTCCGCTTGAACGTACTCAGATGCAAAATTCAGTATAATAATTAGCATATTGTATA